TTTACTATTAAAGACTGAGGCAAATTCCATATACTCCTCTAATATTCATGTGTTTTTATGTATCGATAATCTTTGTCTACTGTACAATATATATCACAGTTTAAAACATTATTGGAGACTGATATTGGGTTGCATGGCTAGAATGAAATTACTGTTCATTAAATAACAGTAATAATTTATTTGACAAAATCAAAAATAATTTTTAAAAAAATTCTTGTTAACAATTCCTTTGAGTTGAGTCATGGAAACTTCATTACACTACATACACTTTGAAAAGCAAGGCTGCCCCAGCAATGTTTCTTCAAAAAAAAAAAAAAAGATTATATATTTTAAAGCCTTTTTCATACTGAGTAAATAAGCCCAAACACTGTACGAATTCAGTAGTGAAGTATCTGTCATGATTTTTGAATTGGTTGTCATCATTAGCAGAACGATGGATCCACCCACGAGTCGCTACCACCATGACAAACCATGTTATGCCAGGATGACAACTTTTCTCATTTAAATGAAAAAAGAAGTCAAGAAAATGTCACTGTTCCCAGACTGAAGTCTTCTGACAAAACAAAGCTAATGACACCACAACAGTATTTCTCAACAGATGCCTTTTATTATAACTTTGATTTGAGAAACATGCTTTGAACACAGCATATTCTCCAGGGCATTAATGGTGAATAGAGATCTCAGAACTGATTCTATACTCTGCTTTCCAAGTCTGGATATATGGAGTTATTTTGATTGTCTCTCCGTATGAGAACTGAATCACTTTGATCTGAACTAGTGAGGCAGAACTTATTTAGGTGTGAACTTGAGAACTTGTGCACTATAACGATGTAGGATTACTTCTGTGTGTACAACACTTTTTTGTGTGGACCTTGTGCCCCATGCATGAAAAAAAAAAAAAAAGTTAATACTAGTTGAACTGTTTTTAGAAGAGCTCAACATTATTTAGGTTGAATTATTTCAGCCTGGAGTGAGTTCTAACAGAGGGCTTGGTTTTTCAAGCTGCTGAGAGAATGAAGTTAAAGGTGTTTGATGTCTCACACATTTAAACTCAGAGATATCAGAAGATAAGCTGACATCAGAACTTTGATGATATCAGAAAATAGGAAACAGAAGATAGACTGAATTATACCACAAAGCATTTGCTACATATATTGGGCTATTATCCTATACAAAGATAATTTATGTTTGTTGTGGTTTAGCCCCAGTTAGCAACTAAGCACCATAAAGCTGTTTGCTCACCACCTCCCTTCCCTAGTGGGATCATGGCAAGAATCGAAGGAAAAGGGAAGAAAACGCATGGGTTGAGATAAGAACAGCTTAATAATTGAAATACACTAATGATACTAACACTACTACTAATAATAGTGAATATTATAATAATATGTAATTCTTATAACAATAATGTATTATATATAATTAAAAGGAAAACAACAACAGAAAGGTGATACAACTGCTCAGCACACTCTAAGCAACACCCAGCCAGTCCCAAAGCCGTGAGAGCCCCCTGGCCCACTCCCCCCAACTTATATACTGAACATGATGTCATTTGGCATGAAATGTCGCTTTGGTCAGTCTGAGTCAGCTGTCATGGCTGTGTCTCCTCCCAACTTCTTGTAGAGAAGAAGCCAGGAACACAGGGGCAGTATCAGAAACTGAAAGAAGTCCTTGGCTTAATGTAAACAGTGCTTGGCAACAACTAGAAGAGCAGTGTTATTAACAGTCTCCTCAGCATAAATCCAAAACATAGACTCATACTAGCTACTATGAAGAAAATTAACTCTATGTCAGCCAAAACCAGCACAATGTTAAAAAAAACTAAAAGCCAATAGGAATTAAGCCGACTAGAAAAGCAAGGTTGAATGTTTATATTCATACCTCAGGCAGATAAAGCATGAGCTGGCAGTTAGTTTGAGATGGTTGACACTTCCATTCCTGCACCTCTAGGCTGAGCTGTCACTCTGTGCATACCTGAGCCAGAGCTCCCTGCAAGGATTGTCAGTGGCATGGTGGAGTCATCTCAGTCTGCAGCGTGGTTATTCTCAGAGCTCTCAGCTCCCCAATTTTGCAGAAGAGGAGCGAAAGCACAGTGATTAATGCAGCTTCTGCCAAGATTTTCTGGAATTCTGTGGTAGAGATAGGATGTGCCAGGTTTCGTGCTACCTTTCTGACGAGCTGACTATCCTTTCTCCCAGTCTTGGCCAGGAATGTTCATAATTTATTGTCAAAGAAGTAACTGGCAGTAGCTATACCTGCTCAGCTCACCATACCAGCTGCTGTTGTTGCTTTTTGAAATCAACATAAAGTGTTTTCAGATCCCAGCAGTGTGCTTCCATGGTTTCTTAGCTGTGCTAAGAGGATCCCCCGTGGTGTGCTTCCGTTGTTTCTTAGCTATGTTATGAAACCCTGACAATCCATATCTCTTCTCTGCAGTGCCATCCTGCCAGCGCATGCCAGTGTCTCCTTCCGAGGCACATACAGACATGTGCTTCTGTTCTTCCTTCATTCCTTCACATAATTTATTCGTGCCAGCTTGTCATCAAGTATTATATTTCTGCCCATTCATTATGGAGTGGACAATAAAGAAATGGTATAACACAGAACAGGACAGCAAGAGCAAAAATAAACCAAGGAGTTGGTGGACTGAGTGGTCATAGGTGGAAGACTCAAGGAGGGATTCCAGTTTAGTCCCTGCCCTGATTGCTTGGTGGCGGGTGGTGGGTGCTGATTCTTCAAGCACTTGTGTGCCAAAATCCCACAGATGCAGTCAGTTTCTGTAACAAGGACTTGCAGTTTAAGTTCCTTGGAGAACTAAGTTTTCTTTAACTAACTGTAGAGGTGCCCCAGACGTATCTTCAATTTCTGCACATGCAGTTGTAGGTGGTGCTTCTGTCAAGACACTGAATGACACTTGACTGCAGGCTTATAATTAGCACAACTAATGTGAATGAACGTGTTCACAGGTTTAAAATGAAGCACATGTACCATCATTAACAGGATCAGGACCTGAACTGATATTCTCTGTATGTGTGTGTGTGTGTATTGTGTGCGCTGTCTCTCAACGCCAAGGTAATCATTTCTGCTTCCACCACTGTTTTCTTTTGGTTGAATAACAAGGCTGAAAAATCCAAAATGTATATGGGAATACTAAAAGCTGAAGTAAGTTGTTAAGAATTTAGAGAAGTAATTTACCTCCCATTGAATTGTACCTTTAAAACATTATATGTTTTTTACAACTTTAAAATGTCTATTTTTCTCTCAACGCCAAGGTAATCATTTCTGCTTCCACCACTGTTTTCTTTTGGTTGAATAACAAGGCTGAAAAATCCAAAATGTATATGGGAATACTAAAAGCTGAAGTAAGTTGTTAAGAATTTAGAGAAGTAATTTACCTCCCATTGAATTGTACCTTTAAAACATTATATGTTTTTTACAACTTTAAAATGTCTATTTTTCACTCTTCTTGAATCGTGAAGGTGGACAAGATGGCCAGTCTCTACAACATACATGTCCGCACAGGTTGCTTCTGTAATACAGGAGCCTGTCAGATGCATTTGGGTATAAGCAATGAGGACATCCAAAAGAACCTGCAGGTTAGTTTCTGAATGAGATGACATGATACATAGCTCAGGGAAAAATACCTAGATTCAGTGACCCAGGAGACATCTGGCTATCCGTTCTGAATTTCCTAAGGATGGGAGGTTTGAAGGGGAGAAGAAAATATGTCTCTTTATCAAAAAAACCCTGATTAGCTAAAAGCTGGTGTACCATGTCCTGTGCTTTTGAGTATCTGTGACTTTAAGAATGGAGGTAAATTTTATTTGCTTTCTCTGACCTTTCAACTCAATTGCCATGTTAAAGAACTAAATGAACTGAAATTCAATTCATCGAAATTGGGTGCTGAAACAAAATAATTTGATGGACCCAAAGCAGTATGTGTTGCTTGTTTTTATTTGATTGGAGTCTATGAAATGGTGGCCTCTTGTTCTAACTTAGAATTACATGAAATCTAGATTTCCTGCAGAAGTTCCTGGACAATTTATCTCATGTTGTTCCTTAAGTATCCTTAATTGTACTTAATAATGTTCAGGTATTATAGACCTATTGCTGTTTGATGTTATATTTTAAAAGACAGCCACAAATTGGACAAGAAACAATAAATAAAAATACACAGTGAATCTCAGAGAGTGAAGTAATCTAGATGTCATCTACGTAGATTACTTATGTGTTAGATTGTTAGAACATGAATGTAAATACTGTGTTCTACATGACTAATATTCTCCATAAACTGTCATAAAAAGGTGTGTAGCAGGATGTATTACAACGAAGTCAGGGGGGCTTCATGTCTGCATATTTGTAGGTTTGAAATTACAGTAAATTAATACAGAACAACCAGAAATTTCATTAATGGTATTCTTCAAAAGATAAAAAATGATGATGTCAGTATTGATATCATAGCTCCCTTTTCACAGAAGCATCTAGATAACTTTTGCAAACACATTTATATGCAAAATAGATAGCACAAGTTCTTAAAGCAAGCGAGCTCTTTAATACCTTCCTTTGCAAAACAGGGCTTTGATTTACAATAGAAAGTTCCATGTCCGTAGTGTCCTCATGCATGATTCAAGAGCAGGTGAGCTATGCTTGAATTTTCGAGGGGGAGCAGGTTCCCCAAGATATTCTGAGAAAGGTAAAATTGTCTACCCTTCTGCTGAAGTGCAAAATGCCAAATGACCAGCTGCAAGGCTCTTGGATCTCTTCGTATGAGGAGGATTTTGCTAAGGAGTGGGCAGCCTTTTATAGGTCTGTATCATGTTAATAAATCTGAGCATTTAAATGGGGATAGGCCAAACCCAAACTTATAAAGAGACACTTGATCTGCCAAAAATCGTATGATGAGGTGGTGCAGTCAAGCAGTCATTAGTTTGGGACATTCTCATCAGTCCTTTGAGAAGGATCTGGATGAGTTACTGACATTATGCTGAAGGGGAAGGCGTCTTTTATCACGTAATTTGCACATATACTTTGGTTTTGCTTTTTCATGGGGTGCTGACTGTATTCTTCCTTCCCTGATGAAGATTTCTATGTATAAAATGCATGTGAGGGAGGACTTTCTGTCCTCAAGGGTCCCTGGAGAAGTATGGTTAGTTTTATTAGGAAGTTAGGAAGGGATTCATTTACTTATTTGCACAGCAGGAACCTCTCTCCTCAGTCAATCAATCAATATTTGGCAGAAGGGTTACATGTATATTAACAAATGCAAACTAATTTTGCAAATGTTGTTTCTGCTGTATTGTCAAGGATAAAAACTACATCACATGCATTAAAATATTTACTGCTGTACTGCATGCTTTGACAGAGAGGGTTGGGGTTTTTTTAATTTCTCCTTGCAAAAATGACATCTGTGTTCATTGAACTGTGACATTTCTTGCTTAAAAAAGCCCTCATGTAAATAATCTATTCACACTTCCATTTCTGTATAACAGAAATGCGTAAATAAATGAAATTCTGAGAAAAAAATAAAACAACTGCTGCACTTACAGCAATAAGGATGCTCCTTTAGGACTAAATCTTATCTCCATTGGTGAGATAATGTTAGATGAATGAACAAAGGGAGTCTCCAGTTTATCTCACTGGAGGTGAGTGGCAGCATTCACTGACCCACTTAATGAAGGAGAAATGTCTGCTCTAGGGAAGTGTTTTCCAGAGAGTGCTGTATGAAAGACGTATGGAATGGAGGGGGATCTATGTGGAGGTCACTATTAGGGTATTTGAAGCGTTTTTCAGCAAAGACTTTGATCAGTTGCAACCTGTATTCTTCAAAGGAGGAAATGCTGGGGGGAAGGCTAGTGCCCTCCCTTCTGAAAACAGTGTGTTGACTGGATCAGCAAGATAGATGTACTGCATATCCCAAAGATAACGGAAGGCACCTCATATGTTGGAGTTTTAGGTTCAAGTCTCTGCTTTGCTAATCTCACCCCAGTTCTCAACTGTATAGCTATCCATTTGACTATTTAATACAAGCCATGAATAAGCCACTGGTGGAATAAAATGGAATAGTTCTGACAGCAAATATCAAGAAAGTCGCCCCAGAAAAACCAGCAGTCCTGTGGCTTGTTCACTTATCTGAATGTAATATCCCAGTTTAAAGACCAGTGAACTATGCAGATGGGACTGGAATATACTTGGAGACTGCTCTAGTCAACAAGGCATCCTGGGGCATACAAACTTTTTCTGATTCTTGACATGTTTTTGAGAAGTCTCGCCTTAGGGTAGAACAGGACAAGCACCTCAAAATGATCTTCTCAGCTGGAGTAAGTAATAAGAAAATTGGGATTTTTTTCTCCATTTTCTCTTTGCATTCATGAGTTAACTTCATATATTTGAAAACAATTTTTCATGTTAGAATTAAGATACTTGTTAACAACTATGTGAAATTAGAAGGAAGTAAAGCAAACTTTGTCATAATAGCTCTCTGGTTTTCTCCCTGTTTCAAACCAGGCAGGTCATGTCTGTGGAGACGATATAGACCTAGTTGATGGACACCCCACTGGTTCTGTGAGAATATCCTTTGGCTACATGTCTTCTTTTGAAGATGCACAGAATTTTTTGAAATTCATCATAGCCATCAGACTCTCCAAGTCAGACACTGAGATTCGCTTCCAGTCCTCTCTTACAAAGCTGACAACAGAATCTGTCCCAGGTGACCAGCCTGCCTTTGGCAATGCAGAGAAATTATCTCCAGTACCACACATCTTGGACAGAGAACTCAGAAATAATTCGTCTGTGACAATGACAACTGTCAACTGGCAGCCGCCGGAGGATGAGGCAGAAAGCATGAGGGCAGCTGTTTCTGAGACCGCAGTACCACCATGTAGACAAGGTGGCAAGCCCATCACGGTCATCAACATTTACATCTACCCGATCAAATCCTGCTCTGCATTTGAGGTATATGTTTTGAATCGTTCTTAAATATTCATCTCAATCTTGTGTTTTTCCTTACCACTCTCAGCCATGTCAACCACGAATAGCATGCACGTGAGATGTTAGGAAGCAGCATGTGGGTACCCGCTTTTTCCTTTCCTCCAGTTTCTTGGATCGAGTCCTTCATACTAAGGCACTTTGACGGATTTTCAATTAGACTGAAGTTGCAACATGCAAATGAGTCTTCTACTCTCCCCTCCCCCGCAACAGACAAATCTGCACATAATATGCAGTCTTGAAGAAAATAGTGGGATTTGCAAAACTTGACTAAAATATAATCAAGTAATTAGTATGCTTTTACAGAATGACGTGTGATGGACTGGTAGGCATTGATGGGTAGGCAGCAATTGAGAAATAACTTGATTAACATGTTATAAATGAGAGGAGGCTGATTTACATTACAAAGAAATGTTATCATTAAAAATACATTTGCAACAGAAATATGACATTTAAGTGTTGCTGCAGTATTTGAAAGTTCACTCTTTGAAGATTTTAATTGCTTTTTTACCAAGTTAATAATATCGTCACCTTAGCTGTGACTTTTTTTTTTAAATAATGCATGATGAAATAGGTGTATGGCCCACACATGACCTAGAATGTGACTCTGCTTAGTACCATGCTGGGAAGTGATTTAATGAATGTCAATATCGGTATAACTTTCCCTATGAAAACTTGCTGGTGTAGGTCACTGTCACATCTGAGTGAAAATTGGGGTCAAATCCAGTGACAAATCACCTGCATTTAAAATATGGCTTCTCATCTGATTTGATCATGATTTATTATTTTTTTTCTAAATGCAAAGTGAGGCTGGGGAATTAAAGCAAAGTCTGTTAAATGGTCAACAAAACATCTGTATTTTTACATATGGTTTGGCTTATGATGTCTTTATTTCAGAGGCACAATTTTGATCATTAAATGAGACCTGAACAAACAATTTCCATGCCTTATTAACCTCCCACTAAATCAAACTGTTTAGAAAATCAGAGTAGTTTCACATTTCATGTAAGAATGTTTTAACCTTTCTTTAAGTGTGCAGTTATTATAGCTGTGTTACAGAAGGCCACTACAGAAGCTGCTGAAATATGTTGTGGCAGTATTCAGGTCCCTTTGGGGTTAAATTCTATTTTTAACGTGCAGGCTGGTGTTGTGAGATACATACTACAACATTCAGCGCTAGGAAGGCTTTGCAGTGATTGTGCCCAGGAGCAGGTAAGACATACCTCAGCACGAAAAGCAGCTTATGTTTCCCCACAAGCTGAGCCAGGTTTCTTCTCTTCAAGCTCTGTGAGGGGAAACGACTCTAAGTGATAAATTCATACAAATCTGGTACTCCTTGGCAGACAGAGCTGCAATTTTATACGGAGGTGGAAAATCCCTCTTCCTCGTGCATAGTTCTTGTGCCAGGCATGTGTTAATGGGCCCAGTGTGAAAGCATGGTTCATCTTACCTCAACTTACCCCTCCAAAGTTAGATAGTATTCTGTAAGCAGTGAGAGGTGGATTCATCTTATCGTAAAATTGACATCTACAATAGGAACAAATGAACTGTTCCTGGATATTTCTGTCTCTTTCCAGTAACTACAGGAGGAACCCAAGGCAACTTGGATTATACAGCTAATACAAGCTGATTTGTATAGTTTAGTAATACAGTTATTAAAATTGCAACTATGTTATGAGGTTTAGTTTTGCATGCCTAGAATAATTTTTGAAGTCTAGCATATTCTGATTTGATATTTTTTCATAACAAAGTATGAGCTACTTTAGAACCCAGTAAGCTAAGCACTGTCAGAGCCTGTATTGCAAAGAGTAATATACAGTTAAATATATATATACTGGCTTTAGTATATGATATTAAATGGGACTTCGGCAGCACATATACTAAAATTGGAATGATACAGAGAAGATTAGCATGGCCCCTGCACTAGGATGACATGCAAATTCATTAAGCATTCTGTATTTTTTATGAAGATGCTCAGAGGGCTGGAGCACCTCTGCTGTGGGGACAGGCTGAGAGTTGGGCTTGTTCAGCCTGGAGAAGAGAAGGCTCCGGAGAGACCTTATTGCAGCCTTCCAGTACCTGAAGGGGCTACAAGGAAGCTGGGGGGGACTTTTTACAAGGGCCTGTAGTGACAGGACAAGGGGTAATGGGTTTAAATTGAAAGTGGGGAGGTTTAGATTGGATAGCAGGAAGAAGTTCTTCACGGAGAGGGGGGTGAGGCACTGGAACAGGGTGCCCAGAGAAGCTGTGGATGCCCCATCCCTGGAAGTGTTCAAGGCCAGGCTGGATGAGGCTTTGAGCAACCTGGTCTAGTGGAAGGGGTCCCTGCCCATGGCAGGGGAGTTGGAACTGGGTGGTCTTTAAGGTCCCTTCCAACCCAAACCATTCTGTGATTCTATGGATAGCATTTAATTCTTCTCCTCCTGTCAAAGAACATTTTTTGTGCATTTCAACTTAGTTCATAGAAGACACATGAGTATATATGAAAGAACAGTAGAAGCTGACCTAATAGATACAATGAAAAGGGGCTTTCAATGCATAGGCAGAGCAGGCCAAGACATGACGCCAAAAGTTTGATCCATTTTCATTGTTTTCAATATTGAAGTAAATCCTCAAAGTAAATGTGTCTTCTTTCATGATCTTCTTCCTGTCCACCAGGCATTCTTCAGGTTTTTGTTCCTAAAGGTCTGACTGACACTTCTAAACCTGTCATACATTTATAACCAGCCTGTGAAAGATCTGTCAATCTCATTGTCTGCCTATAGAAGAGGTGCAAATGGTAATTTACAGCCCACGATTTGTAATGAGCTTTAAAAGTCAGTTAATCCCATTCTAAATCTAGCAGTGGCTTAGTCTCTTCCTAATGGCTAAAAGTAGAATAGAAAGCCAGTGCTGCCAGAACTGTCATCATCACTAACTGCAGAGTGCATCACCCTCCACAAATCTATGTATATGATTGCTGCAACTTCAGCCTCTATCACCTTGAAAGGGAACATAACCCATGCCACATGGCACTGGAGTTTGAAGCAAGACATGCTAGAGAAACCTGATCAGAATTAAATGGAATCAAATCCTGAAAATCAATTTTGCCCTTTAAAATATTGATTAATGCCAACATTTCTAGATTTTATCATGGAAAGCTTGAACCCCATAGAGAAGTACTCCTTTGCAAGTATCTGAGTGGTCTTTGTCCTACAGATACTTAACATATTATCTCCTTGCTTTAGTAAACTCATAAACTTCTGAAGTAATAATAATGTAGCTTGCAGTTCCCTTAGTCTTCAGTTAGAAGCTGAGAATTGAAATTCAGTTTTGTGTTTAAAATACCTTTAGATGATTTGTAGTTGTTGGAAAGTTAGAAAAACATTTTCCCGATTAAAAATTTTATCTTTTTTATCAGTTATAAGGTATCTCTAAGCTAGTTGATGTGGAATGGTGAAAGTGGTTTAGATACTGGGTGGCAATAAATGCACTCATCTTGTACTTGGATACTTGAGATCAGTATCTCATAGATTTGTAAGTTCAAATGCAGGCCTCCAGCTGGTATGGTAAGTCAGACCTTTAGCATGTGTAAGTAAATGGGCTTTATTGTAAGTACATGACCACTTGTATTTGCCTAAAATAATACGTGCAGTGGAAAATTCCAGCTAACTCTATGCAGGACCCAGCCCTTCCGCTTGCTGACTTAATGGTTGCAGTGCAGATGACTTGATTAGTGAAGGGCAGACAAACTCAATGAGGGTATGAGTACAATCCCACAGCTGTTTGATCTCCTCTTTAGAGTCACATAATCTCCTCCTCTCCTAAACTCTGATTTCTCTGCTTGATCCTAAGTGTTTTAGTATGGGGGATGCTTGACCTCCAGGGAAAATGAGAGTGCAGAGTGCCTTGGCAGCTGGGAAGATGAAGCTTGGCGTGAAGATCATCAGCTCACTGCAGGTCGGTTAGTTCCTACAGCACGTCTGCTTTACAAAGTGTTTCTGGCCATGGGATAGTTTCAGTTCAGTGTTGGTCCATGGGGTTTGTACACATGGTGCAGGAAGCGGAGGGTAGAATATTCTAACT